CAATACAACTTAAATTACTTCGGTGTTCAACAGATCATAATCAATTTATTTTAGCAAAACAAAAAGGTGGTGGCCATCACAGTCCCCATATTCTGTCTGTGCATTATCTATTGTTGTGTAACTACAGGCCTATATCATACACTAATCTTCTTAATATTTTATATGTGACAGTCAAATGTCACATTAGTTTTTTTAAATTACGTTACACACCTTATTGTAATTTCACACAGTTCGCCACTTTTTAATTTACATACACAAGTATAGCCTTAATGTTACATTAATGTTACACTGCTCATGTGACAACGTTAACATTGCATCACGTTAGCTAACTAACGTGGTGGACCTTTATTTTCAAACCTCACACAGCCTCAGCCTTTTGTTCAAAATATTCTCTCCCTAAATGCCTAAATCCTAACACTTCTCTGTCAGGCTCTGACTTCGATGAATCCCTGGACTGGCGTCTTGCTTGAAGGCTAACCATTAGCTGGCTGGTTAGCTAGTTAACGAACTAAGCTTGTGTTGTATCGTATTGTCTGGGGCTCTGTAACTTGATGTGGATGTTGCTGCTGTGATACAGGTCGCACTTGAAAATGAGACCTCCGGTATCAACATGATTTTACATGTATTAAATAAAGGCTTAATTATATAATAATAAACTGACAAGCTAGGTGGTGACCGCAGACACCGATACACGCTGCTGACAAACTAGGTGGTGACCGTAGTGACCACAGACACCGATACCCGCTAATTAGTGCTAACATATAAACATAAATAAAATAATACTAGAATTTCCGAATTTCACTTACCGAAAAACCTGGAGCACAGACTTCTTGGACGGTCTGTTGGTTTAATTAATCGAACAGCAAGCCATATTACTCCAATATCTGCCTGAAAAAATATCCAAAAGGCACAAACATGGTTGAGAGGACAGGTTCAATGCCTTGAACATGGGCACGAATTGGCTGAGATGGCGCCGAGCAGACGGCCGAATCTGAGCTCAGCTCCGCCGAGCGCCGCACAGCGAAGCCAGCGGCTAGTTAGCCACCCGTGATGGTGCGATCTGTCACTCAAAGTGACCACGCCCTTAATTATGCGCAATTTCAAACCTTAATAACATTTAAACGGAAGAGTTAGAAAAAAATTCAGCCCCCCCCCCCACAGTTGTCAAGAAAGGGGATATTAACTATAGAGACCAAAACCATTTTTTGTACCAGGCTGTAAACATGTTTATTTCTGCTCTAAAGTTGGGCATTTTAACATGGGGGTTTATGGGAAGTGACTCACTTCCGGAGCCAGCCTCAAGTGGACAGTCAGTGAACTGCAGTTTTTGGCACTTCCGCATTGGCCTCACTCATCTCCCCCGGAGGTTGGGGCTTGACGCACACATACACATGGGGAAATAGGGCCCAGGTTGAAAAATACCGAAGTTGTCCTTTAATATGACAGAACCTGTCTATTATAAGTTAAGGGACTCTGTAGGACATACAGTGGGCTCCTATTCATATGTACCAATTGCTAAGATGCTGAAAAATTACTGTTGTCATGCGGACATACAGGATGAAATTCTGTCTGATACTAATCCAGAGACGGACAGCAAATTTCTAACAGACTACTGTGATGGACAAATTTTCAAACAACACAGATTTTTCAAGTATCACCCAAATGCGCTGCGGCTGCATTTTTATGAAGATGAATTCGAAGTAGTAAATCCTTTGGGGTCAAAAAGAACCAAACACAAGCTGTGTGCATTTTATTACACAGTAGGCAATTTGGAAAAAAAGTATCATTCTCAGCAAAGACACACTCATTTAGCGTTATTGGTAGTGACATTCATATGTCAAACGGCATGGTTTGGATGTCATCTTAAAACCTATGCTTGATGATCTTAAAAAAACTTGCTACTGATGGTTTTACAGGAACTGCTGATGGAACTGAGCACACCATTCGTGCTGCTCTTGCAACTTTATCTGGTGATAACTTATCAGCTCACATGATCAATGTTAATTTTTACAGCAAATTCTGATTTAGTCTTAGTCTTTTGAATAACACACTATTTAGTTTTAGTCATATTTTAGTCATCTGAAATCTTTTAGTCTTAGTCTAGTTTTAGTCGACTAAATATCATAAGAGTTTTAGTCAGGTAAATCTACAGTGGACTTAGTCGACTAAATGTTTCTCCAGAATTTCCAGTCATTGGAAATATCCACCAGTCTGTTATGAAATGGTATAAAGGTTTGATTGTCCAATACAGGCATGGAAACAGTTGTTATATGGACCATGTATTTTGTTTTATTCTCAAAAAATAAATAAATAAAACACTGTTGGCTGTAATGCCATTGCACATGGTATCTACTGTAAATACAGAAAATTCACTTCTGTTAGTGTTCAAGTACCTCAAGAAAAGTTAAATAACTGCTAGGCTACAATACCTCAGTATGTGGCACAACAACAAAAATCTCTGCTCTCAGCACTGAAGAGGCAAATATCACATTAAACAAAAATCACAGAATGCTGTGTGCATCTTCCGTTGTCTCCTGCGACTCTGTACAAAATCACCAAGATTTGAACAGAGCATATACAGTCAGGTCCATAATTATTTGGACAATGATACAGTTGTCATCATTTTGGCTCTGTACACCACCACAATGGGTTTTAAATGAAACAATGAATACCTGCTTAAAGTGCAGACTCTCAGCTTTCATTTAAGGCTTTTTTCAAAAATGTAGTATGAACTGTGTAGGAATGACAACCATTTCTTCACACAGTCCCCCGACCTTAAGGGCTCATAGGTATTTGGACAAACTAACATAATCATCAATTAAACAGTCAGTTTTAATACTTGGTTGCAAATCCTTTACAGTCAATGACTGCCTGAAGTGTTGGACACATAGGCATCATCAGATGCTGGGTTTCTTCCCTGGTGATGCTCTGCCATCCCTTTACTGCAGCCGTCTGCACTTCCTGCTTTTGTTTTGGGTGTTTTGTCCTCAGTTTTGGCTTCAGCAAGAGAAACGCATGCTCAATTGGATTCAGGTCAGATGATATGACTTGGCCATTGCAGAACATTCCACTTCTTTGCCTTAAAAATGTCTTTGGTTGCTTTTGCAGTATGCTTCAGGTCATTGTCCAACTGCACTGTGAAGCATCGTCCAATGAGTTTTGAAGCATTTAGTTGAATCTGAGCAGATAATGGTGCCCCAAACACTTGAGCTTTCATCCTGATGCTCTTCTCAGCAGTCACATCATCAATAAATACAAGAGAACCAGTTCCACTGGCAGCCATACATGGCCATGACATAACAATACCTCCACCATGCTTCACTGATGAGGTGGTGTGCTTTGGATCATGAGCAGTTCCTTCCCTTCTTCCTTCTCTTGTCTTCCCATCATTCTGGTAGTTGATCTTTGTTTTATCTGTCCATAGTATGCTGTTCCACAACTGTACAGGCTTTTTTGATGTTTTTTGACAAACTCTAATCTGGCCTTCCATTTTTAAGGCTAACCAATGGTTTGCATCTTGTGATAAACCCTCCGTATTTATTCTAGTGAAGTCTTGTCTTGCTTACAAGAGCAGCAGGATGAAAGCTGAAGTGTTTGGGGCTACATTATCTGCTCAGATTCAACTAAATGCTTCAAAACTCATTGGATGATGCTTCACAGTGCAGATGGACATTGACCTGAAGCATATTGCAAAAGCAACCAAAGACATTTTTAAGGCAAAGAAGTGGAATGTTCTGCAATGGCCAAGTCATATCATCTGACCTGAATCCAATTGAGCATGCGTTTCTCTTGCTGAAGCCAAAACTGAGGGCAAAACACCCTAAACACAAGCAGGAAGTGCAGACGGCTGCAGTAAAGGGCTGGCAGAGCATCACCAGGGAAGAAACCCAGCATCTGATGATGCCTATGTGTCCAACACTTCAGGCAGTCATTGACTGTAAAGGATTTGCAACCAAGTATTAAAACTGACTGTTTAATTGATGATTATGTTAGTTTGTCCAAATACTTATGAGCCCTTAAAGTCGGGGGACTGTGTGAAGAAATGGTTGTCATTCCTACACGGTTCATACTACATTTTTGAAAAAAGCCTTAAATGAAAGCTGAGAGTCTGCACTTTAAGCAGGTATTCATTGTTTCATTTAAAACCCATTGTGGTGGTGTACAGAGCCAAAATGACGACAACTGCATCATTGTCCAAATAATTATGGACCTGACTGTAAGTGCAATTCTCATATGTAAAATAAAAGATGTATTGGCTGTAATGCCATTGCACACAATCCTAAAGAAATACTCCTTAATGTTCAAGTAAGTCAACAAAAACTCTGCTCTCTCAACACTGTAAATACAGGTATGTACATATTTTTATGTAAAAGAAAATATGTTTTGGTTGTAATGTCATTGCACACAAAATGAAATATTCCTCTGTTAATAATTAAAACAATTATCAATGAGCTCAAGACAAATGAAATAATTGAGCTGCAATGCCATTATTGCATGGAACAAAAAATAAATCTCTCTGCTCTCATCATACTAAACAAAAACAAAAAATCAAATACCAGACCAGCAGAGATGGCAAGTAACGAAGTACAATACTCCGTTACTGTACTTAAGTAGATTTTTCAGGTACTTTGTACTTTTAGAAGTATTTATTTCTCTGACGACTTTTTACTTTTACTCAGTTACATTTTCAACATAAATATCGGTACTTTCTACTCCTTACATTTCCCAAAAAGGCTCGTTACTTTATATATATAGCCTAAGCCTATATATTTTTTTATTTTTTGGCGCCGCGACACCAATGCGTGTGAACTGTTTTGGGTTTTGAAAGACGCAGGAGGAGACACAGCTGTCTGTGTGTGTGTGCGTGCGTGCAAGCGTGCGCTTGTGGTGTGTGTGTCAGAGCAGGTCTGCCACTCCGCCCACACCTGTTACACCACGTTAGAGCAGCTACACGAAATGGACGACGGTAAGGATCCCACACAATCACAAGAGCAGTCCGTCGACGAGCAGCACCCATGGCCTTATTTAAAAGAGCTTTTTGAGTTTGTTGGTGCTAAAAACAACTCCTGGCGAATGCGTTGCATCTTGTGCAAACCAAAACACCAGGAAGTATTGGCGTTCAAGAACAGTCCGTCAAACCTCAGTAAACACATAAAGGTAAGTCATTAGCGCTAGCTACGTGTTAGCTAGTTAGCTTGCACTAACGTTAGAGCGCTCAAAGATAAGCGCTTGCATGAGCAGACGGCTAGGTTAGCTACCGTTATCAGACTATGCTGAAAGCTGGCTAGCATTAACGTTAGCTGCCACAGTCGGTTTGGGTTTGAGCAGAAACGGCCGAAATCGCGCTTTTTTTCTACTAGTCAGCTGTAACGTTATGACCAGGGCTGCACATAAGCTGGTGCTCAGTACTCATGAGCGCTGAAAATATTAAAATGAGCACCACATCCAAGTGTGTTAGTGCTCATTTGAGTACCTAACATTTTACAGTGCAGACATTATTGCTATGAGCGTCTAGATTAACATGAATTCATGTTCTTGTTCTTAGGGATACAAACATTGTCTGGGGAAATGATTTTAGGTAGGTGGTGCTACTGTTAAAATTCAAAAAAGGTAAACAGTACTGTTAACAGCAGTAATGTTATAGTGAAACTTGTGGGGGTTTTTTCTTTTTCATTTCATGAAGTCAGATGTTAATCTGTAGGTTTTATTCAATTGCCAATTTTGTATTGAATCTTATTTTATCAGGAAAAATATCTGAATCGTGACTCAGACATGAAAAAAATGAGCGCCACCAAGAAACAACCTCTGGTGCTCCTTGAGAACCAGATCAAAATTGTTGTGTGCACCCCTGGTTATGACATAAGGCTAACATTGTAGGCTGAAGGCAATGCCGCCCCGACTCACATTTGTATCACTTGGCTTATAATGGCTCTCCTACATTTGTCCCTCTAGAGAAAGCACGAGAGACACCTGGAGAGGTACACCAAGCTAGCTATTCAGAAAAGGAAGCATGACGAAGATCCGAATGACCAAGCAGCACCCAAGCAGCTGAAACTGTGGGATACGCCTCGCGTGACACAAAAAGGTGTGGATGAGCGTCTTGTTGATTTTGTGGTTAATGGCCTGCACCCTCTGAGAGGCCGTTTACACGTACACAGTGATTTTGATAAACGGAGACATCTTCCTTCGTTTGTGCCCTTCGTTTACACGCAAACTGAGATTTCTCCTCTGAAAACGAGTCTTTCTAAAAACTCCGGTCAGAGTGGAGATTTTGGAAAATTCCGGTTGCGCGTTTACATGTAAACTGAGATAAACGGAGATAAACGGAGTTATAGGCAGCCGACGTCACAGCATGCGCCGGAACTTGCGCCTGTGTCAAAAGTGCGACCTATGTTGCTATGGTGACAATGGATACATGGAAGGCTTGAGCTTCTCTTTACACTGCCACCTACAGGTTTGGCATGCTCTTGTGTATATATACATGGGTAAGTTTAAACGAAGATCTTTTTGAAAACAGAGATGGTGAAATGTCCGTTTATGAAAATAGCCGGCAACATGTAAACGTAGAAGAGCCGGGTTTTCAACGTCTAATTAAATATCTCCAACCCAATGCATCTGTCATGGTTCGCAATACCATGAAGAGCAGAATCGACAAAGCAACTACAGAGATGAAAGAGAATCTCAAGGTGGCGATGCACAATGTGGAGTTCATCGGGACCACCACTGATTGCTGGACAGCAAACAGAAAGGGCTTCATCGGTGTCACAGCCCACTGGATACAGCCTACAAGTCTGCAGCAGTGCTCTGCTGCACTAGCATGCAAGCAACTGAAAGGACCACACAACTTCTCTGCACTTGCAGATGCTCTGACTAAGATCCATACAGGTATGTAGGCTATTGGTAGGTTTAGTAGTATTTTACTTGAGTCCAATCCAGTTTAAATATTTAGGCTTGTTGTCACTGTCATCTGCATTCATTCATTCATTTTAATACTTTGCCTTTAACTTTGAATATCTGGATTCTTAACTGCTAATGTTTGCAATCATGTGTATGTGTCTGTGCCTTTTCCCTTGCTACTGTGAACTTAAATTTCCTGTGGGATCAATAACGTATCTGTATGCCTTTTTTTTTTACCCGTCTGTCTGTCTAGAGTTCAACATCAGAGACAAGATTGTACGTATGACGACAGATAGTGGGTCCAATTTTCTGAAAGCCTTCAGAGTGTACGGTGTCGACGATGAAAACAACAACGCAGAACCACTCGGGGCAGAGCCAGATGAATCAGGTGAGTGTTGCATATAGGGCTGGGCGATATGGCTTGAAAATAATACCTCGATATTTTTTGGCAATTCGGCGATATACGATATATACCTCGATATACACATTTTCTCTCAAATAACATACTGTAAATTCTCAAATAGTTTTAACATATGATGTTCTTATAGAATATGATGCATTGCTGTAGCTTAAACTACCCAACAGTATATAAAGTAGTTAAAATTAGCACAATCTTAAACAGCTAAAGCAGCAAAATGCAACATACATATTAATGAAACAGTAATATTGATCCAAAAACTTCAGATATAATAGTAAAACACTGACAGGGACATTTTTACTGCAAAATGAGTAATGTTACATTTACTTTTACACTTTAAGTATTTTTCTATAATAATTACATACTTTGACCTTAGTAAAGTTTAAATTGCAGAACATTTACTTGTAGTGGAGTATTTTCAATGTGGGGTTTTAGTACTTTTGCATAAGTCGTGGACTTGAATTACACACCCACTGCACCTGTGTGTTATCGGCGGAGCCTTCCCCTTTAAGAAAGGTGGGCTTGTGGGTAACCTGTGTGACGGAGGTCGGAGGTCCGGAGGGGTATGTTGTGAAAGTGAGCTAGCTAATTAGCCGCTACGAGTCAGGCTAAAGACAATGAAAACTGTTTAAAAACAACCGGAGGTCTTCCAGATACTTTTCAGAACTGGAAACCGTGGGTTCAGTAACAAACGTGTTCAGACGAACTATCGCGTTTTCTCATGTGATTTTTTTTTTTTTTTTCAGCCATGGCGGGAAAAAAAAAAATCACATTTACTCGTAGCTGCTAACTAGCTAAGTTAGCTTTTCACAGAGCAGCTCTGCTGTGAAGAGTACAGGGAGATGCTGGAGTAACATTACTTAAACAGAGACTTTTTATTTATTTTCTGTTGTAGCAAACACAACACACAGCCTTTCAGGAACTATTATTCTGCAGCCTGAGCTAATCTACATACTTGATGGCTGACTGAAGGAAAATAACTGCCCCTTAGCAGCGACCAGCGGAAACATTGAAAACTCGAATATGACGATATGGTCATCTGCTATATCGCGCATCAGTTCATACTCGAATATAACGAATATAATCGATATATCGCCCAGCCCTAGTTGCATATTGGTTTGTGAAGATGACATAACTATTGTCAAGTGTTTGGATATCTTGAAAAGCACCCTTGAATGCTAATTAATATATTATTTTATTAATAAGGAGAAGAGGATGGTGAAGAGATCATGATGGAGGCTGTTGAAGCCGGTCCCTTGTTGGAGCATGATGATGGCCTGGAATATCAACTGCCAAAGCACCATCGCTGTGCCTGTCATCTTATGAACCTGGTGGGTGTTTGACTGAGTTTATGGATTGAGTAAATACGATAATCCAAGGGATGACATGTAAGTTTGAACACTTATTCTCAACATGGTCCTTTGATATTCACAGGTGGCAACAGTTGATGTCAAAGCAGCGAATGAAGACCGGGTCTACATGAAGCTCTCCCGCTCATCATTTGCAAAGTGCCAGGCTCTCTGGAACAAGAGCAGCAGATCCACCCCAGCTACAGAGATCATTGAAGAACACTGCAAACTCCAGCTCCTGAGGCCTTGTGAAACAAGGTACAATTTGCATTTTGAGATGTGTTCAACCCTTTGAATCTGTTTCAGATGTAAAGCACTATACAAATATAATGTATTCTTTTTTATTGTTACAAGATGGAATTCTCTCTTCTATGCTGTTGAGAGGATTGTACGGATCGTTAAGGAACAAGGAGAAGCAGCCATTGCAGCGGTCTTCAGCGCACTGAAGATTCCGACGTAAGTTTACTTTGCATTACCACCTAACTGTAGGGTTGGCTGGTGTAAGTAAACATGTAGGAGATAATCAACAAGAGCAGCTAGCTTCTTTTTCACCATCTTTTCAGGTGATACATTCTTCCCTGCTGTTCTTCTACCAACACTCAAGAAGGTGATAACCTGTAGTGCTAACTTATAGTGCCACCTAGTGGCCTAACAGGGAGTAGAACTAGGTAATAATGCCATAATGCGCTTGCAAAGACCAAAACACTAACTGCCTGCCTTGGATAGTTTTAGGTGTTGTGGGCATTATTATTCCATCATGTAAACATGTTTGACTGCTTAGACACTGATGGTTTTGTGCATCTGTGTGTGTTTCTCAGGTTCAGTCCTGCCGAGATTGCTTTTCTCACAGAATATGCAAAGACCATGAGCCCAGTTGCAAAGGCAGTTGATGTTCTTCAGGGCGAGGTAAACGTGCAGATGGGGTGGCTTGTACCTACCATCACACTGCTCAAGTCCAAGCTCCAGAGCCTTCACACCACCTCCAAGTACTGTGGGCCATTGGTGGATGCTCTTCAAGCAGGGCTTGAACGTCGCTTTGGAGAGATGCTCGCTGATCCAGAGCTGATTGCTGCTGCCATTCTTGTCCCCAAATTCAGGACACGCTGGACTACTGATGAAGGCATCCTTAAATGTGGTATGTGCTGCATCACTTTCTTTTATTGTATTGTTATGTTTTTTAAATTATGTTTAATATGCTTAACACCCTAAAACTCACTCCCCTCACATCTATATGTACATTCAAACAAAGTGGATCGTAACTGACTGTTGCACCTGTTAAATACCACTTATAACCCCACAACCCTTCCCTACCTCCTCCTCCACACCTCCATCCATACTCCCTCGTTTCCTCGCCCTCCCTTGCTCTCAGTCCCTCCTTTCTCTGTCCATCCCCTTCTCTTGTATGCTAATTCTGTTTCTTCATTTGGTTTTGTATCCCCCATAGGCCTTGACTACATCAAAACCCACCTGAAGGAGCAGAGTAGTGCAGCCCAGTCAGGTGACTCTCTGTCGTCGGCGGAGGAGGAGGACTTCTTTTCGACAATCAAGTAGACAGATCAACGGGACGGTAACACCAAGCAACTAGAGTCCTACCTGGCCAGTCCAACTGATACCATGGACATCCTGAAAACATTTCCATCTGTGTGCCACCTGTCTCTTAAGCTCAACACACTACTACCTGCCTCAGCTGCCTGTGAGAGGCTTTTTAGCACAGCAGGAATGATTTTTAGACCCAAGAGGGCTAAGCTACTTTCTGAGAACTTGGAAAACCTGCTTCTCATGAAGCTCAACAGAAGGTTTTGTTAGATTTGTTTTGTTTATCATGCCTTCACATTAGACTCGCATAGAGGGATGGAGTGATGCAGTGTAGAGAGATGGAGAGGGGGGTCTAGTATGTGTTGTGTAGGTGTAAACATATAATGAGTTACTTATCTGAGGAGCACAAGAATTGTGTCTTTAATGTGAAGGGTTTTTCATTGAGCTTCACTGAATGCACAGTGTGCAACTTTTTCTTTTTTCCATTTTTAATTTATTTGGCAGGGACATTGCACTGTGTTTATTGTACCAGATAATAGCTAGAGAAGCTTAGTTATTTTCATCTGTAGTCCCTGGGTGTGCCACTCACAATAACACACCTGTACAGTGTTAAACAATTGTTGCCTGATGTGTTATTAAAATTTTTTGATTAAGAGTTGGGAACTTTGAGAACCTGCTTCTCTTGAAGCTCAACAAAAGGTTTTGTTATATTGTTGTGTTTACCATGCCTTCACATTAGACTCACATAGAGGGATGGAGTGATGCAATGTAGAGAGATGGAGAGGGGGTCTAGTATGTGTTGTGTAGGTGTAAACATAGTGAGTTACTGTTCAGAGGAGCACAGGAATTGTGTCTTAATTGTGAAGGGTTTTTTATTGAGCTTCACTGAATGCACAGTGCACAAATTTGTTTTGCCTTTTCATTTTTTATTAATTTAATTGGCAGGGACATAATGGCTAGAGAAGCTTAGTTATTTTCATCTGTAGTCCCTGGGTGTGTCACTCACAATAACACAACACCTGTACAGTGAGAAACAATTGTTGCCTGATGTGCTATTAAAAAAAGTGCTATTAAAAAGGTTGATTAAGAGTTGGGCATATGAGCATGATTTGTGACACCATAGTTTAGAAGCTAATCCTGGTCCAAAATTCAATGTTCAGAAGTGTGATGTGTTAACCTTAAGTGTACAATACAAATGCCTAAAGGACTACAGTGCCCTCCAAAAGTATTGGAACAGTGAGTCCAATTCGTTTACTTTTGTTGTAGACTGAAAACATTTGGGTTTGACATCAAAAGATGAATATGAGACAAGAGATCAACATTTCAGCTTTTATTTCCAGGTATTTACATCTGGATCTGATACACAATTTAGAAGATAGCATTATTTGTAATGGAACACAAAATTTTTAGGTGAGCAAAAGTATTGGAACATATAAACTTAAAATAGATTAAAGTGAATGATACTTAATATTTAGTTGCAAATCCTTTGCTTTCAATAACTGCATCAAGCCTGTGACCCACTGACATCACCAAACTTTTGCATTCTTCTTTTGTGATGCTTTTCCAGGCTTTCACCGCAGCCTCTTTCAGTTGTTGTTTGTTTTGAGGGGTTACTCCCTTCAGTCTCCTCTTCAGCAGGTAAAATGCATGCTCTATTGGGTTTAAGTCTGGAGACTGACTTGGCCAGTCCAAAACCTTCCACTTCTTGCCCCTGATGAACTCCTTTGTTGTTTTGGCAGTGTGTTTTGGGTCGTTATCTTGCTGCATGATGAAGGATCTCCCAATCAGTTTGGTTGCATCTTTCTTTAAATTAGCAGACAAAATGTTTCTGTAGACTTTTGAGTTCATTTTGCTGCTGCCATCATGTGTTACATCATCAATGAAGATGAAAGGGCCCGTCCCAGAAGAAGCCATGCAAGCCCAAGCCATGACATTACCTCCACCGTGTTTCACAGATGAGCTTGTATGTTTGGGATCATGAGCAGATCCTTTCTTTCTCCAAACTTTCGCCTTTCCATCACTTTGGAAAAAGTTAATCCTTGTCTCATCAGTCCATAAAACTTTTTCCCAGAATTTTTGAGGCTCATCTCTGTACCTTTTGGCAAATTCCAGCCGGGCCTTCCTATACTTCTTGCTAATGAATGGTTTGCATCTTCTGGTGTAGCCTCTGTACTTTTGTTCATGAAGTCTTCTGCGAACAGTAGATTGTGATACCTTCACTCCTGCCCTCTGGAGGTTGTTGCTGATGTCACTAACAGTTGTTTTAGGGTCTTTCTTTACAGCTCTCACAATGTTTCTGTCATCAACTGCTGATGTTTTCCTTGGTCTACCTGTTCAACATCTGTTGCTTAGTACACCAGTGGTTTTTTTCTTCTTCAGGACATTCCAAATGGTTGTACTGGCTACGGCCAATGTTTGTGCAATGGCTCTGATTGATTGTCCATCTTCTCTCAGATTCACAATTGCTTCTTTTTCACCCATAGACAGCTCTCTGGTTTTCATGTTGGTTCCACCTCTAAATGCAGTCTGCACAGGCAAAACCTATCGTACCCAATCTGAAACTGAGCTCAGACATTCAGTGCTATTTATTGTTTGAATAATCAATGTAATTGGGAGACACCTGGGCAACAAAACACACCTGTCAGTCACATGTTCCAATACTTTTGCTCTCATGAAAAATGGGTGGGTTCAAACAAAAGGTGCTATCTTCCAAGTTGTGTATCAGATCCAGATGTAAATACCTGGAAATAAAAGCTGAAATGTTGATCTCTTGTCCCATATTCATCTTTTGATGTCAAACCCAAATATTTTCAGTCTACAACAAAAATAAAGGAATTGGCCTCACTGTTCCAATACTTTTGGAGGGCACTGTATATAGTGAAGTACATTAGGATACTAGGCAGGTAGTGTTTGTTCAAACAATAACATTGCTAAAGTAGATTCCATATAAATTATCCTGTGTTTAATAGCTTTTCAGCCAGTGAATCGTGCAATAGAAATACTTTTTACTTTTAAAAGTACTTTTGAGTACATTTCAGAGCCTGTACTTTTTACTTTTACTTGAGTAGGTACTTTGATCAGTACTTTATACTTTTACTCAAGTTGTTTTTTTACATAGGTATTTTACTTCTATTCAAGTAAGGAATCTGGGTACTTTTGCCATCTCTGCAGACCAGTAACTTTCAAGTTGTGCATATACTACAACAGGAAATGCTGTAAATAGCAGTGAATATATCAGTTCTATTTGTTTCTGTTCATTTTAAGGAAAGCACTCCGCTCCAGTGTGACCCTTCCTCTGTTGCGCCGTCCTCGTGAGGTCACCTGTGAATACCCTCTCTGCAAAAGCTTGAGAAGCTGGCATAGCTAACAAGTCTAATGCTAAGGGTTTTGAACTGTGATAAAAACTGTCACTCTTTTCCAGCCAAAAGTCTGTTCCTGTGTCCTCAGTGATGGGATGTAAAAGTTCTTCCTTGTACTTGATGATCTGCTGCCTGATGCTGGTTGTGGAGGTTTTCTGTTTGGGCCTTGTGGTGCGGCATTTTGAGAGAAACCTAAACACTGGCTGCTTTGAGGATGGTGCTGGTTTGTCAATAACCTCTTCTTCTGCATCACCTTCAGACTGGTCCTCATGTTGTGTGTTTGGGAAAGTGCATTTGACCACATAGTCCTCTGCCTGTTTCAGCAGTTCCTGGATATTTCTATCAGCCACATCAACATTAACAAGGATTTCACAAACAGTTGGGTTGACAAAGCAGGCAGCTGCTGCAAGTGGTGAGAACTTTTCATCAGCTGGATCCATGAGGCAAGCAAAACGCTGGTTCAGATTTGCTCTCATCTTCTCTGCTACAGTGGCGAAGTCTGTGGCAGAGCAGATCAAAGAGGGCAGGGACCACGGGACATGGATGTAGTGTCACTCTGGAGGGTTTTAGTGTGTTCCGCAAAAGGCAGCAGTAGGTCATGCACTGATGAAAGCTTCTGCCACTCACTAGTAAGCAAATTGTCCCATCCCATGTCATTTGTGATTTGACAGACTGCATCTTTGTGAGGAGTCGTGTGACCATGTTGAATGTGCTTGACCAGCGTGTGGGGCAGTCATTTACAACAATAAGACCACACTGGTCTAATAGCTGCTGTGTTGCAACTGAGGACTTGCGAAAGAGCTTTACCACAGACCTTGCTTTATCAAGGACTCTCTTGATAGTTGTCTCCTTCTGCAACATGTGGACCACAAGTTGTATGGTATGCACTACACAAGGTGTCCAGTCCATGTCAACATGATGGTACCTAATAACAAGAGGAAAAGACAACCAAATAAGTCTACACCTAATAATGTGGCCAGTGAGTGAATGAGTGAGTGTTGACTGTCATGTAAAAGAATAAACTAAACATGGCTCACCGCTAGTCATCAATTTCAGAGTCACTTTCCATTATAGACCCAGGGGAGTCGTCCTCAGAGCTGGTGTTTTTAAAGGCTGCCACCATGTTACTCCCATTGTCTGTTATCACTGTAAGGATCTTCTCCTTTGGTATGGCTCACTCTTGCATACATTTGTCCACACATGCCTTAACTGACTGTGCAGTGTGTGGGTGGGCCACTTGTTCAAGGGCCAACAAGATGTGTACAGGTTTTCTTTGTTCAACACAAAAGTAGCATGCACTTATAGCAAGGAATGAGGTTGTCAGACCTTTTTTTGACCACAGGTCAAGGCCAATAGACACTCTCCGGGCAGCAGCCAATCTCTCTTTGAATTTTTGTCTTTCATGTTCATACTGTGTTTCAATCAAATTGCTTATTTTAGTTTTCTTTGGAACAGTCAGTCTCCTATCTACTATCTCCATCATTAGCACAAAGTCTTGTGCGTCCAATCCATCTGGCTATGGCCTGCTCCTTGGTCTGTTGTTCTTTCGAGTCAGTTTTGTACTTTGAAGAACTGAGGAAAGCTGTAGAGATGAACTGCTGCTGGGTTGAACTAGCAGCAGTAGCTTTATCTCCACTTGGCCCATGATCATCTTTGTCATCACGTCTTCTGTATCTGTGAGGGTGAATAAGAGAGGAATCAAGTTGTGATTTTTCTCTTTCTCGCCCAATCCTGCCAGATCTCTCTCTCTCTTACACACACACACACACAGACACAGACAGGCAGACAGACAGACAGACAGACACAGACACACGTTCCCTTTGTCCAGTCATATACAATATTCTCTATAATAGTACATTTCTTTAAACGTGCCTTTTTGTTTGGTACATATTTGATTCAATTTGAGGACACTGAATATTTAACGTTACACTCATATTAAGCGAGTCAATCATCTAATCAATACAGTTCAGAGGTGGTTTCCTTTAGCTTCTATTTCATTTCAAGTTTAGTGGAAACACGGTGGTTTATTTGATAAAAACCTTAGCGTGTATGCTTACCTTCGCATGTACTTCTGGATGAGTTGTTTGTAGATGTCGCTTAAAGTTGGTGGTGTTTTTCTCCGCGATTTTTGCTCCACACGGTTTACAGAGGGTCTTGTTGTCCTTGTTGTCATAGGTGGAGCGTGACCAGATGTCAGTTCTTCGTTTTCGACCTAAACCTAGCGCTGACATTTCTGTGTTCTTCATGAAACATGCTGTCGCACTCGGACCACGTGCACTGCAGGACTTTTCTGCTAACTAGCGAAGGCCAGTTTTGTTTTGAAACTTTTCATGTCATGTGCCGCTGCTGTGGCTCTGCTTCCAGAGAGATCAACCTACCCGCACAATGAAATTCGTTCTGATTGGATCTATCCTCCATTCGTCCCTCTCTAACATTTTCGTCTCGTTTTGATTCGTTTACTAAAGTGTTCATTATATTTCGTCATAGTCTTCGTCATCATAACTGACTTTTTATTTAGTTTTTATTTAGTTTTCGCCCGTGAAAATGGTTCATTGACGAATATTTTTCGTCATAGTCTTAGTCAACGAAATTAACACTGCACATGATTGGTGGATTTACCATGTCATTTAACTCGGGTAGAGTTTGTCACTATTGCATGGCTACTCATGGAGATATAAAACACTTGTT